CAAAAAACTACACAAGATTTTTACATACATTGATTACTTTAAACACAAAACCAACCTGCGCATTTCATTTTCATAAGCTCTGAGGCCAGCTTTGTCAAGATCAGGAGGTGGTTTCGGGTAATTCAGTCGAAAAGCACTACTGCCAACTCCAAAAGTACTGATTTTCATATTTGTGTCATATTCTTGACGAGATTCTGGTCTTCCAAGTACAGAATATGCCTCACTTATTTCAGTAAAATGAATCTTTGATCCTTCGTCTATACATCTATCAGGGTGGTACTAATGTAACATTAATAAATGGGCTTAGTTGAAACCTTTTTCGATAGGTCAAGGTAGGCAGCTTTAATTTCATCTTGAGATGCTGTAGTTTTGACTTTCAAAACAGCATAATAATCTTTAACTTCTGGGAGTGTGCTGAAGTACTTGGAAATCTGATGAAAACTGTGTGATACACTTCTAGATTTTCTAGAGACAGAAGCGAGGATAAAGCAGACCATAACTGCTCCGCCAGAAAACCTGATAAAGTTGAAAAACATAATAACGAATCAGTCGTTTATAAGGCAGGCTGGCAAAGATCTGAGTAGTTGAAGTTGAAACCTAGTTAGCCGTTAATATAACCATAATCCACAAGCTACCTGTTTGAATCCTTTTTTCACTTAGTTTTAACCTGCATCATCCAACCCGTGGATGAAGTGAGACGTGATCAACGGAGAGTTTGAATAACTCAATACGAGATGTCGCACAAAATATGGGTTAGTTAAAGTCATAAGTCCCAACAACAGTATAGTAATCAGGTATGGTTGACTGTAAAAAGCTTTGAATCAAGTGCTTTTCACTTGTTCAATTTAATACAAGTAGTGTGAAACTCTAAATAAATGCATGATGTCAACTACTAACTACAAGATCCACATTACAGAGTTTATAACAACTCCTTCTCATGAGTAATAACAAGGTGCAAAACTAATAGGAACCTCAGGAAAAATAAAAACACGTAACACATCTGCGTTATAACTAGCTTTAGGCCCAATGTCTACGACCGGACATTCATAGTAGACTAGATTAAAATGGATAAGCATGTAGTGAGAAACAGAGGTCATATAGCAAGATTTGAACCGAAGTTCACAGCATAGAAATGCATATCTCACTAAGTCCTGGCAAGGACATGTGACCCATCACTGAAAGTTTTTAACTTCCAACTAGTGTATCATGGGCTTGAAGCCCGCCTCACCTACTGATGTTTGGGCAGCAAGGTAGTATTGTTAGCTTTCACAATGAATGTAACTCGTCGCTCACTACATTAGCCTGCACATGGTCACTGAATGCAATTTTCGAAACCTTAATAATCTGAACACTTTACAACAACATATACATACAGGAAGCTCACTTTCAAATTTAACCGAACTTCGCTGCATAAAATACCGTCAGTGAAAACTGTTTTCTAAAGAGTTGACAGGTGTATTAAAGCCAAAAAAGAGTTTAGATCATCAGAAGACTAATAAGTACGTTGGTAGATACAATTCAGTGATGATTAATAAATTTACAGACGAAAATGACATTTTATTCATCCCGAAGCTTATGAAAGTGATACCTACTTCGAAGTCGAATCTCATATCTACGATACATGTGATCCAAGAGATAATGTAGGTGGAGTACTTTTCTGGATGGCTAGAAAAGTATCATTCATTCGCCCAGCTTCTCCCTATTTAACCACCATGAAAATGTTCAGACAAAAATTAAACGGTGACGTCATGGAAATATGTCCCAACCCAATATCTAATGTTGATAGTGGGAGCGTAGAAAACTGATAGTTTTTTATCTCTTGCATCTAGTTCTTAGGACTTGATCCCAGTTATTCGGTTTGCTTCTGCAGTTTACAAGGAAATCTCTTCAGCTTTTTTGCAGTGAGCTTCGGTGAGGTCGATGTTTTGTGGGTTAATAAACAATTTGTAGAGCGATTGGGGAGCTACGGGTTGCAGGGAAGACTAAGAGTCTGTCGTGACTCCTGTCTGTGTAGGTGCCTGAATAGGAATAGTAAGAGAGTGAGAAAAAGTATGTGGGAATTACCCGGAAAGTAAAGGTAGATAGAATAGGTCTAGTTGCTAGAGAAGAGTTAGTAGGTAATGTAGGTGTATTAAAAAGAGAGATATTGAGTGGTAGGTAGGAGGGGAGTGATGGTTAGCAGTGACTCTCTGAGTACATCCGTGGTAAACCATGCGAAGTGACTACTGTCTAACCATCTTTTGAATGACTACCAAGGGGGCTATGACTATACCCCGCGGTAGCGGATTTCATAAAGCACATACTCTCAAGGAGAAAAAGCTGGACCTGAGTGTGGTGATAGCTCTCTGATGTGCTATCCTAATAGGGTTTCCGCATGATGACCGTTGTGTTGCAGGCGAGGCTAATTTGTTTGCCATAATAAGGTCACCCTTCCTTCTGCGATAACTCAAGGTGAATAGGTTAAGGTAATTTTGCCTCTCAGGGTATGCCTTGCCCCTTAGCCCCACAAATGATCCCCTTGCAGATCTTTATATTTTCTCAAGGAGATTAGTTTCTCTTGAGTGTTGGGGAGCCAGCGCACTTAAGACCTCTAGGGGTAGCCGTACATAAGATTTGAAAACTGTGAAGAGCTCAGGAGTTGAGGGCACCAAACTGTCTATGCAGACAGTGCAAAATGGAGTCCACTCTGGTTGTCATGTCTTTGTATTTGGAGCTGAAGTTTAAGATGTCGGAGAAGTTGAGCCCCAAATCCTCCTCCGTGGACACACTGATGATAGCACAGTTGCTCAATGTGTACTAGGAGTCGGCCATTCTTGCTTCATCTTTACTGATGTGCATTGCTTTGCACTTTACCAGGTTGAAGGTCAAGCCACTTTCAAGTTGCTGCAAGTCATTTTGTAGCGTTGTACAATCGGCCTTTTCGTTTACTACCCTCCAAATATTAATGTCAACAGTAAAGAGGATGATGGGTGAGGTTTTGTGCGGCAGATAATTGACAAACAGAAGTGGTCCTAGAATTGCTTCTTGGGATACCCCTGACATAGTCTCCGCTCTGACCATATTGTTCACCTCGGTGCAGGACTGCCTATCTTTTAGGTACTCCTTGAGTCAAGGGAGTAGGAATTCACTTATACCTGCTGACATGATCCTGCAAAGCAGGACTGTAGGCGGAACTGTCGAATGCTTTTGCTAGGTCGAGGAAAACCACACATACTGGTTTTCTGTTGTCCCAGCCAAGTGTCCAGTAGTCCCACGAAGTTAGTCGGTTGGTGACACATGAACGACCACTCCGAAAGCCATGCTGAGAAGCATGAAAGGTGTTTTCCTTATTGAAGAATTCCCAAATCAAGTCGGTTAACAGGCTAACACTTTCGACAGTATAGGTAGTACAGCAATCAGTCTGTAGCTGCCAGGGCTTTTTCTGTATCCTGCCTTAAAGATGGATGACAAGATGGCGCACTTCTATTCTTTAGGAAGTTCGCATGACTTCACTAAGTGCTTGAAGAGGTTGCAGTTTTTTTATAAGCACCTCGGTGCAGCTTCTTAGGACTGCCGGTCTTAAGTTATCGCAGCCGGTGGACCTGCCCGGACGTAGCCTAAACAGTTTCTCCGACACTTTTCTCCCTGACTGGGATGTGGCGGAGAAATTCGTTATTTATGGTCTGGTCAATGTCGCAATGAGTCGGTGATTTGATGTCAGTATTAAGTTGAGCCTGGAAGTGTGAGCTCAGCCTATCTATCTCTAGAGTGCCTAGCACACTATCATCAGGACCTGTGATAAGATTCACTCCCTTGCTAGTTGACTTGCTTTTCGACATGAAGCGGTACAGGTTATTGGGGTTACTTTGTAACCCCACCGCCAGGTTTGTGTGATAGATAAACCTGTCGTTACGCACTCTTATGCTGCAGCAGCTCCAAATTCTTCTGTAGTGCAAAACGTCAGACTCTCTGCGTGATGGATGCCACTTGAACCAAGTCTGCTTCTTGGTCTCCGTCGTGAGGTTCTCACTAACAATATGTTACCTCTGCAACACTGTGACTGATGGCCCCAACGACTAATTCCTTCACCTGTATCCAGTGTCCATCTGTTATGAGATGAGTCCAGCCGTGATGCACTCATGAGTAATCTCTTATGGTCTCGTAGCAAAGGAAGGTGTTGGGCGTCTGCGGTTCCATGGCATCCTTAATAAACATGAAGAAAGTTACTGCTACGTAATCACTGATATCATTAGGGGATTCGATACATATTTGCAAAAGTGGGTTTAACTCTTCATATCTTAGAACGCATTATAATAAAAAAACCAACTGACCGTTCCGCTAGACTAAAAAGCGAGCGCGAAGAAAGCTATTGGTTTGCACTAGCTCTTTAAAACGTATTGGGTATTGGACTGAATAAAGTAACTTAGCAAGGCGATACTTATTAGAGTTAAAATCACCAATAAGAAGCAGAGAATCTGAAATGTTAGCAGAGGAAACCACAAAATTAAGGTTTCTAATTACAAGATGTTTGCGTAACACGGGATGTAATATCCAATATCCCTTTACCAGTAAGTGTAGGACACATAGTTGTCTGCTTATGTAGCGCACTACTGCATAGGCCCTTGAGGCATCTCCTGGATAGTTGCAGCTTGTTTGTAGCTTATCAGTAAGTATTAGTCTCAGATCTTTCCGCGTAATAGAGTGAGAAAGTGGCGTTCATGGTGAGTTTTGGGTACATTTTGATAGGTATGTGGAGAAACATGCTTCAGCATTCATCCAGATTAAGTCCTAGTTCTTCACTATCTATCCAGTCTGCAATAAATCTGAGATCATTTTGCGGTGCACTTGATTTGGTTTCATAAAGTAGAATCGGGGAGCTGATAGTGGGAGATTGTAGCCTCACACACTTCCCCAAAATCAATAGCCTAGGGTTTGACGACTTTCGACATTGATGCTGACCATGATAGTTTAACTGGACTCACTAGGCTGAAGGCACCCCGTCAAGCATCCTCGCCATTTGGTACGCTGTCGTGTTACGTTGCACTGCCCGTAATCGACTCTCTAGCCAGTTAGTTGGAACGCATCGGTATCTTGGCACAACCATCCAAACATACTATTCCATCCGACTACGCTATCATGTTCTTCCTTGGTCTCGTATTCGTGGGTATATAACAAGTTCGAATAATTAGCGATAGGTCTTTGCGTCTTTCAAGTTCACACCAGGACAAATCCTGAATTGGTGAGCCCGACGTGATCACATATCCCGACCAATAACAAATATTGAATTGGTGAGCCTGTTCCATCTTATACTTGTATATTGTTTTCATTTCGATGACATTCATATATCCAGTTGCTACATTTTCTCACGTCCGACCACACTCCCAAGCTTATTCGTATTAAGCCGACTACGAACACTATCCAACTCGTGCCATATTGGCCAAACAATGCAGAAGTATGGCTTCTGTATGCCGAGGCAGATTTTCGAGAACAAGGCGTCTCAGATCCTCATTCTCGGTTT